CGGGTGATGCATGTTGTGTTTGCAATGATGGTTTGCCACCGACCACCATTTCCTTTTCTTTTCCCCTTCTCACTCTTCTTTCCAATTGAATTTCATGATGGCCATTAGAATTGTATCCTTTTATTTTATGACATTTCATATTTGGCTTTAAACGTTTTGATTTTTAAGTTTGATTCTTTGTCCTTTTATAAAATTTTAATTTGTTTTCAATATCATCATTGGACATATAATTTTAATTTTTAATTTCTTCAAGCTTGATTCTCGTTTTCTTGATTTTTATTTTTGATTTGGATTCTTTTGCAAATTTAATTTTTCTTTTTAATCTCACATTTCAATTCAAAGTTCGATTATATTTAAGATTAGACTCTTAGTTTTTTTTTTTTTAGATTTTAATTCGTATCCCTTTTATCAATTTTTAATTTTTTTTTGAATTTCATTCTTGAATCCATAGTCTTTTTATTTATTTCAAATTTGGTCTTCATTTTCTTGATTTTTTTTTTGTTTTTGATTTTATTGTTAATTTGGTGTTTTTTTTTTTTATCAATTTTACCCTTCAATTCAAAGTTTGATGATATTTAAAATTAAACCCTCAATGTTTTGAATTCAAGTTTTAATTCTTAGCCCTTTTATTTAATTTTATTTTTTTTCTATTTCATCTTTGGATTCATAATTTGGATTTTTTATTTTTTTTTAAATTTGATCCTCATTTTTTTTATTTTTTGTTTAGGATTGTTTGTTAATTTGACAGTTCTTTTTTTATTTTACTTTTTAATTTTAAGTTTGATGATATTTAAGAGAAAGTTCTCAAAATTTTGTTTATAAATTTTAATTCTTAACCCTTTTATCAAATTTTAATTTGTTTTTAATTTCATCATTAAATCCATAATAATAATTTTTTATTTTTTCAAATCCGATCAACATTCTCTTGATTTTTATTTTTTTTGTTAATTTTAATTTTTTCATTTAATTTAAAATTTTAGGTAGTCAATCATTGGCAAGTACAGAGTCACATGTTATGTGAGTTGACCTGAGTTAACCCAAGTTAAATTTTTTATTTTATTTTATAAAAAATAAAAAATTAAATAATTTTAAAAATTAAATGAAAATAGCTAACGAGATTCAACTCGGTTTTGACTAGGTTTTTATATGGGTTAACTAGGTCACGGGTTAATCAAAGTTTTTGATCATTTTACATCAAATCAAGTCTCCATAGATTTCTTTTGAAACCAAACCCATTATTTTTTCTTTTAATAGATTATCTCATTCATATAATTATGCTGATTAGTTTTGACAACTTTATTTTGATTTGTTAGTTTTTTATTTTTTCAATTTTATCTATATATATATTTGGATTTTAAAAATTGATGATCACAATGTTTTTTAATTTTTTATAATATCAAATCTATATATTTTTTTTAAATACATTAGCTTCACTTAAGCATCATCTTTTTACATTACAAAAAATTCGGCTCGACCCATAGCGAAATGAAGCCGACCTTTATAGTGCAATCTAAAAAAATGTACGGACAGAGACACACACCAACCCATCTGCTTCCAGCCCCCTTAAACCCAAAGCCCTAAAATATATAATGATCAGCTCTTTTGTTCTACTCTTTAATCGACAAAAAATAAAATAAAATAAAACTGGCAACTACTAGTAGTTCCTCAGTTGCAAGCGAGCCAGAGCACAACACCAAATCAAGAGAATTAGAAGAAGAGAACGCTACTAAAACAGGAGCTGCCGACGATGAGGATACCGGAGCTCAGGTTGCACCAATCGTTAAGCTGGAAGAAGTCCCTGTCACTACCGGCGAGGAAGATGAAGATGCCATCCTTGATCTGTACTTATTTTTTTACAAAAAATGGTTTTTCTTTCTTTATTTATTTTTGAAAAAAATGTGAATGATTGTTAGTGTTTTTTCAGGAAGGCCAAGTTGTATAGATTTGATAAAGAAGGGAATCAGTGGAAAGAGAGAGGAGTTGGAACTGTGAAGCTTTTAAAACATAAAGAATCTGGCAAAGTTCGTCTTGTTTTTCGCCAATCTAAGACTCTCAAGATCTGCGCTAACCATCTAGGTCTGCATGTCTTTATGACTCTATTATTTTGTCGAAGGGACTCTAATATACTCTTCTCCTCAATTTCTTGATGGGCTTCTCTTATTTTGTCTGTTAATTTTACCATGAATATATAATCCTGGGATAAAGCAATGCTTGTGATTTGAATTCGTAGTAGAGACGGGACATGGATTGTCTTTTTTTCCCCCTCTTTTGTAATTTGAACTTATTTCTGGCAAATAATTGTCTTGTTGTGTTGTATGATGTGTATCAGTTCTGCCTACAATTAATGTGCAAGAGCATCATGGAAATGATAAATCATGTCTGTGGCATGCTGCTGATTCTGCTGATGGGGAATTGAAGGATGAGCTTTTCTGTATCAGATTTCCTTCGGTTGAAAGTATTCATTGTTCTCCTTGATCTGTTATTATTTCCATGATCTTCTGGTGTTTTTTGATTGAGATTGTCTTCTTTCATGCTTTGCTGTAATTTCTTCGGTTACCTTCCTTTCAAAATTTGAATGGAAGTATCATTGGAGTTGCCTAACAGCCACGTATCATGGTGTAACTGGAACGATGAGCGGACCAGATATTATTTTGGATGTGTATTTTGCCTTTCGGGCTGGCTGCACAGAATTCTATGTTGATTTTTTTTGCATGATGATGCATTTGCTGATTTGCACGTGTGAATTCACTTCAGTGGTTGAGCATTTTAGGTGAGACATGGACACAGCTATTGGTGGTTGATTAGCAAGTTCGCCCAGTGCCCACCTAGCGGACCTAGTATGGCTCATGGATTTGCCCCTTTTGGATTTTAAGCACAAAACGGATATCTTAAAAAGCGTAATTCAATTAAATATCACTCAAAATGCACTGTGAGCAATTAACCTTGTAATAAAATAGTGATTGAACTCATTTCGTCGTAGAATGTATAAGATGTTTGATGTGCATAAATTATATAAGTTTAACCTTGATATTGCACAATTTCTTGCAAAAATGCTTAATTTTTTTTTTCCTTAACTTTTGAAACTGCATTGTATTCCATATTTTTTTTCAGCTTGAAGATATGTTTTCTTCTTAGATCGAGTATGTAAAAATAAATTGTGTACTCCCTATGTTTGTGACTTTGATATGGTAATAAGTAGGCTAGTTTATCTTGTTAAAAGTAAAATCATGGAAACGCGGTAAAATTGGTCATCTAAAATAGGCTGATATCAGCAGTAATATTGTATCTTTTAAGTTCTTGCTAACTTGTAGTAAGAAAATGTGATGCTGGGTTTTCAAATCCTACATGAGAAATGCTAGAAGTCTGATCGTTGTTATCTTTGGTCTGACTTCCATTTTTGTGTCTATATATACTAGTCAAATGTGGAGAAGCTGTTCTCTGTTTATGTTGCATATGAAACATGATTAATTATGCAATTGTCACATGTTCTCTCGTGATCTGCCATGCATGAAGCAAGTGAATTCTTGAGTGTGGGTTTGTAATATCTGGCGTGATGCTTTGATTTTTATTAGATTGCAAAACTTTCAAGGAGACTGTTGAAGAGGTGGCTGAAAGTCAGGGAAAGAAAGAAGAGAGTAAAGATGCTGCAGATGCAGCAGGACTCCTTGAGAAGTTGAGTGTTGGGGATGGTAAGACCGAAGAAAAAGAAAAGCAAGCCAAAGAGGTTAGCCAAACTGTAGCTGATAAAGCAAAGGAAGATGGAGAAAAGGAGGACGAGCCTGCTTCATCTACATAGCGCTGAGCTCAGTTGTTTGGTCTGTCCCGATAAAGTTTACAAGCACTTGGGTCAAGTTAGTGGTCGAAGTTTTTGCCCACAGGTTAGACGATTGTTGGTTTACGTAACAGTTCATTGGCTGTGTTGGAACCTGTGGATGACATTGGTTTGCCTGTTGTTCAATTAGGGGTCATAATTAATAGATTTATAGTCTTAGGACCCTTTTTCTTGGAAAAAAACCCTGGCACATCGTCTGAAAGACTGAGTGCGTGCTTCATCTTTGGCCCTTCTTGTTTCACTTCTCTAAATTGAGTTTTCATCTATGCTTTCTGATGTTTAAATTTAGAGCTCCTACCTGTATAAAGTGATGCTTGTATTTTACCTTGCTATTTTGCGGCTCAGATTATTTTTCTTAATGCAAAGGAATATAAAGGTATTGCTAACTTGACTAGTATTGGATGCTGGTTTTTTGAAATATTAAAACAATGATAATAATCTGGATGGATTTTTATTTTGAAATATTGGATGAATGTTTTTTTGAAATATTAAAATGATAATATAATAGATTGACTTGAATTAATTTTTTTTGTTAATTGATTGAATTCGTGATTTAAGTAATAAAATTATAACAATTTTATAAAAAATAAATTAAAATTATATTTTTAATTATACCAGATAAAATTTTAAAACAACTTAGGTTAACTTATAAAAAGCTTACCAAGTAATGAATTGTAGGATGAATTTAATAAATTCGTATCAATGTGATTATATTTTATGATAATTATGTGTGCCCGCGTGGTTATTATTATTATTATTTTGTATTAAAAAGACTAAAATAAAAGAAGCAAGCTTAATTTTTTAAACTGAATAACAAAAAGAGTCATTTAAATAACAAATGATGAATTATTATTATTATTATTATTTAAGTTTAAAGGATTAAAAATGCATAAAAAAACAAGTGAGGTATATGGGACTGAAATAATAAAAGCATGGTTCAATTTGTTGTCAGTTAAATAAAAAAAATAAAGGAGAATTTCTTTTTGAAGTCCAGGGGGAAAATTCATTGAAAACCAGAAAGACGAGAAGGGAAGGTGCTTGGGCCTCCCAGCGAAGACCCAACATTTAGGCCTCAATAGAAAAAAGCCCAGGACCCATTCTTTCAACTGAATCACCGAACTTCATTCAAACCAAATTTTGACTTTAAATTCTTCACACACAAAAAAAAAAAAAAAAACACTTAATTTTGTGTCTTCTTCCTCCAGACACTTGTCTATTTATTTCTCTCCCACTATTCTATTGTAAATCATACGAAAACAGAAACTAATGGACACCAAGATAGGATCTCTTGACACTTGCAAACCAACAAGCGACGACATGATCAACCCAACTAACGCCACCGTATCAACCATCCAAAACTCACTCTCATCCACCATTATCAACCCATCCCAGTCAACATTGGGTCGCCACCTCGCTCGCCGACTCGTCCAAATCGGTGTCACTGACGTTTTCTCTGTCCCTGGTGACTTCAATCTCACCCTCCTTGATCACTTGATCGCCGAGCCTGGGCTCAACCTTATCGGTTGCTGTAACGAGCTCAACGCGGGCTATGCTGCTGATGGATACGCACGGTCGCGTGGTGTTGGCGCGTGTGTTGTCACGTTCACTGTTGGTGGACTCAGTGTGCTCAATGCTATTGCTGGTGCTAATAGTGAGAATTTGCCTGTCATATGCATTGTTGGTGGGCCCAACTCGAATGATTATGGGACTAACAGGATTTTACACCATACCATTGGCTTGCCTGATTTTAGCCAGGAACTAAGATGTTTCAAGACCGTTACTTGCTATCAGGTGATTGGAAATTGCTATAGGTTTTTTTTATTAACAAGTTAATTATATCGGTTAATGGTATGTGGGGGTTTGTTGATAGGCTGTGGTGAATAACTTGGAGGACGCACATGAGCAGATAGATACTGCTATTTCAACTGCTTTGAAAGAAAACAAGCCTGTTTACATCAGTGTTAGCTGTAATTTGTCAGCAATCCCTCATCCTGGTTTTAGTCGCGAGCCAGTTCCATTTTCGCTCTCCCCCAAGTACTTTTCTTCTTCTTCTTTTTTTGGATTCTTGATTGATCCTTGCTTTTAAATTTCTTTGGTCATTAGCCAAAATCATGGTGATTAGATACTTGTTCTATTAATTTTTCTTGTACAGAATGAGTAATGAATTGGGCTTAGAGGCTGCAGTGGAAGCGGCTGCCGAGTTCTTGAACAAGGCAGTGAAACCTGTTTTGGTGGGTGGCCCTAAACTAAGACCTGCACATGCAAGTGAGGCATTTGTGGAGTTAGCTGATGCATGTGGTTATGCGCTCGCTATTATGCCATCGGCTAAGGGACTTGTGCCAGAGCATCATCCACATTTCGTTGGGACTTATTGGGGTGCAGTGAGCTCTGCATTCTGTGCTGAGATTGTGGAGTCCGCGGATGCTTACTTGTTTGCTGGACCTATTTTCAATGATTATAGCTCCGTCGGGTATTCTCTTCTTCTCAAGAAGGAGAAGGCGATTATCGTGCAGCCTGATCGTGTGGTGATTGCAAATGGACCTGCATTTGGCTGTGTTCTGATGAAAGATTTCTTCGTGGCTCTTGCGAAGAAGATCAAGCCCAACACTACTGCTTATGATAATTACCGAAGAATATTTGTTCCTGAGGGGGAACCATTGAGAAATGCACCCGAAGAACCTTTGAGGGTTAATGTTCTGTTCCAACATATACAGAAGATGCTGTCTAGTGAAACTGCTGTGATTGCTGAGACTGGAGACTCGTGGTTTAACTGCCAGAAGCTGAAATTGCCAAGGGGATGCGGGTAAGCAATTGAGAGTTTGATATACGATGTCATGACTGTTTAATTTGAGTTGAAAGATATAATAGTGTATGTGAAATTGGATTTGTAGGTATGAGTTCCAAATGCAGTATGGATCTATTGGTTGGTCAGTTGGTGCTACTCTTGGGTATGCTCAGGCTGTGCCAGAGAAGCGGGTGATTGCTTGCATAGGTGATGGTAGCTTTCAGGTAGACAACCAGTTACACTACACTGAACTTTGTGTTCTCCTCCATGGCTAACATTCAGATTTTGACATATTGAAGTCCTTATCTATCCATGAAATCATTATTTGTAGTTTGTGAAAAAAAAAATTTGGTTATGAATTACATACGCTTTTTTTCTTCTGAAATTTGATATTTAATCCATTACTTATGCTCTTTGAATTTCTTACAGGTAACTGCTCAAGATGTCTCTACGATGCTACGATGTAGACAGAAGACCATCATCTTCCTCATCAACAATGGTGGATACACAATTGAAGTCGAGATCCACGACGGTCCTTATAATGTGATTAAGAACTGGAACTACACTAGCTTGGTTGATGCCATCCACAATGGTGAAGGCAAGTGCTGGACAGCCAAGGTGAGCTTGTGACTAAGTAGTTCATTTGCTTCAACGCATGAATATCAATGTAGTAAAATCAAGTATCTGACATCATTTTCTGAACTTGACATTTCAGGTATTCTGTGAGGAAGAGCTGGTTGAAGCGATTGAGACAGCAACAGGACCGGAGAAGGATAGCTTGTGCTTCATTGAGGTTATTGTTCACAAAGATGATACCAGTAAAGAACTGTTGGAATGGGGCTCTAGGGTCTCTGCTGCCAATAGCCGTCAACCAAACCCTCAGTAGACTTTGAACCTGTTTGGGAATCAACCAATTCCCAAACGAAGCCTTCAGCTGCGTTGGCAAAAATGTGATGCTATGGCATGTTGTTTATTGTTTCCTTGAGTACAAGAGTTTGTGATCTTTATCTACTCTGTTGATTTCGGTTTTTATTCTCTTTCAATTTGACTGTCTATTACAGAATCTAAAGCCTCATTTCTATTTAATGTTTTCCTTTTGACAAGTTCTCTCCTTTTCATCTTTCTTGTCTCTATGTGATTGCCTTGACAAGTTAGAGAGAGAGAGGGAGAGAAAGCAACAGGCATGAAATAAACATAAATGAACATGCCCTACACCTTTCAGAAACTGTAGATTGTGGATCGTGGACTATATATACCTTGCTCGCTGCTGATGTGAACACCCTCTAAAATGCAGGTGATGATGGCACTTAGAACTTGAATGGATCATATTTACAACCCTTCATTTTTACCAGTTGTTGGTCTCACTGCAGCAGAGATGGAGTAACTCAGAAGGGATATTCTTTTTCCTGGCCTGGGTTGAAGGGGACTTGTGAAAGCATCGTGATATGCAACGTATCCTAGACAGAACTTGGCCTGTCAAAATTGAAGTCGGAGATGACAAGTTCTTTTGCTATTTTGTTAGTAATCTTGGTCAAAGTTGTATCATTTTTACAAGTGAAATGGTTTCCCGATCAGGCAACATATGCCCCCATTCCGCTAATCATCCATGTTCATTAGCAATATCATAATAATGAGTATGTTGCTTCAGAACATCTTAAATTCCCTCGAAATTCTTTGACGAAGTGAACGAGTGATTTTATCACTGGACCAACACTATGTTGTGATAAAATCAACATTTTTGCTAAAATACTAAAATCCAAACACCCAATTCTGAGGCGAGCAGTGTCTCCCGTCCGAGGAATGCAATTTTTTCCCCCAACAATTAGGGCTCTCAGGATGAATATCTGATCCACGTTAGTGGGCCGAAGAAAGTGACATCAGTAAAACCTAATTCCGGGACGCTCCGTGGATATTATTGGTTAAATTTTAAGTTAGGTTACCATGAACTAATCTAAATTTTTCTTTGGATCATAAATATAACTTAAAAAATCACTTTGGTTTCTGAAGTTTTACACTTTTACTTTTCAATCTACAAATATCATTTTCATCATATTTCAATATTTTAGTTATCAAAGATAAGAGAGGAAGACGCTTGAAAACAGTAAGAAAAAAAAAATTTATTAAGTTATCAAAAAAATTTAAACTTGATATTAATGAATTCAATTCAGAGCAGAGGATTTAATGATAGTAATTTTTCCCACTAATCATGTCAAAAAAAAGAACCACACTCATAAAGCTTTTTAAAATTTGATATGATTTCTAGTTTTTAGGATGATTTTAGAGTACTTTTAGGGTTAAAAATGGAGTAATTTAGGTTTTTATATATTTTAAAAGTGTTTTTTTAACAAAATAAATAAAAAAATTTCAGCTTTAATTAAAAAATTATTGTGGCTGATAATATATGTCTTAATCTTTTAAATATTGAGTGAATAACCAATATAACAAAAATAAAAATACCTGATGAGCTAGCTTCACCTTCTAGACATAAAAAACTTTATTTTTAGAATTTAAAATAAATTTATATTTAAATTAATAATTGCAATTCTATTTCAAAAATTATTTAATTATATATATATATATATTAAAAAAATAGAGCTTCTATGCTTATTTTTTAAATTGTTTTTTAACAATCATAGGTATGCTTAATATGCGATAAAATGTAAAATAAATGAATTATACATGAATTTTCAATACAAATAAAGTATTTTTTTATAAATTAATTATTCTTTGATTTTATATGATCTGAAGATATATATTTTTTAATTTTTATTTATAACCCACCTTTTAGATTATGCTGTTACGTGATATGTTTTTTCATTGTGAAAACATAAGGAATTCAAATATTTGTTTTAATTAGATTATTCTTAATATTGTTTTTTGCAATAAAGTCCTTACATTATATATCTCAAACATGACGTGATTTATTCTGTTTAAAATACAACAATTCAATTTATTTTTTTCTGAAATTATATTTAATGAGAAATCGAATGGCATTACGTACTCAACTACACATAATATGGATACACAACTACACATAGCATGGAATGAAAGTCTCCTCTTGGTTCCAAATCTCTAACCAAATTAATCAAATATATTATATTATACTTTACTATATTTAAAAATACATAAAAAAAATACTATGCATTTATTATAGACATAAATTTATTACATTATGACCCCAATATAAATATAGAGTGCTTATATTATAGATAATATTGTAATACAATAAAAATATTGTTTTTATTGTTTTCTATAAAAAAAATTTGCGAGGTAATGGTGTTTTTTTTTGTATATTGTTTTTATTGTTTTCTATAAAAAAATTTTGCTAGGAAATGGTATTTTTTTTTTATTTTTTTTGCCAAAAGTACTAAGTCTAACTTAGTAATTAGATACACATCACTTCTAATTAGTATTGAGTCTAGCATGACAGGTAAATCTAAGGTTATTGGGTCCAGCTTTCAGCAAAACCCAAAGATTTTTAATTTTATTTTTTAGTTTTTTTAGATTTTTTTCTTTTCTCTTATGTAATATTTTTTATATGATAAAGAAAAAAAAATTGATGAGACTTTTTTTATATTATACAAAAATTAAATAATGATAATACTTTTTCATTTAAAGTTGAGTTGTGTTGAATAATGTTGGGTCCTCCTGTTAGTAGGACCCAATAATATTGGTTGGGCCTCCATGCTAGCAAGATCCAATAATGTTGAACTCTAATGACATAATAGTGTTATACTCTTTCACTAAGTAAGACATTATAGAGTTAGCAAATGTTAAACTCTAATGACATAATAGTGTTATACTCTTTCACTAAGTAAGACATTATAGAGTTAGGTCTTGCTGCCCAACATGAGCCAATAGCATTAGGTCCTGTTTCTAGCAAAATCTACTAGTGTTAGGTTTGGTTGCCTAGCCAAACCCAACAACTTTTGAACTTTTTAATTGCTAAACCTAATGCTAATAAGTTTGGTTTTTTGGCCAGAGGCAATGCTAATGAATTTGGCTTGGTTGTCAGGCCAAATACTATTGGGTTCGTCTTTGCAATTAAATTCAAAACTATTTTTTGGTCTAACTTAATCACTAAATCCAATACTATTAATCCAATACTATTGAGTTTAACATTGTTATTAATCCAATACTATTGAGTTTAACATTGAGTTTAACATTGTATTTAAATTCAATATATTTAATATATTATCTATACTTTTCATATACTTTTTATATTAAAAAAATTATTATTAACCTGTTACATAATACACTTTTCATATACTTTTTATATTAAAAAAAATTATTATTGACTTACAGAATATGGATTAATATGCTAATACCATATAAATTGTCAAGACAAGGTAATTATATTTATTTATTAATTAGGTTCGACAATAAAGGTATTTCTTTTTAATTAGCTTGCATGTCAACTAATATTAAATATCTCTCCGGACAATCTTAAATATAAACTCCAAGAAATTTAAATATTTTTCTATTTGCTAACCCTAAAATTTAAACTATGTATTTAATAAATTATTCTGAGCCAAGAAAAATATTCTAAGCTATCAGGTTAACTTATTGAAGTTAGTAGAATATTATTTTATATTGTTTGTTGGTGCTAATCAATATTGTATAAAAAGTTACTTGTAAATACTAGGACTAATTTATCTTCTTTGATCAGCTAATTAAAGTGGGCATCACAAAACTTATTTAGTTATTAATTAATGGGTAAATTTTAAATCTGTCTCTCTCAAGTTTCAAGTTTACATGTTTTCTCAATTTTATCTAAAACTTTTGATTTTTCTCAACCAGCCCTCATTTTTTTATTTCAATCAGATATTACATATTTTATTTTTACTCCAGTTTTTTCTCTCCATCCATTTCCAATAGCAACAGAAAACATGTTCAAGTTTCAATTCCATCCCTGAAGTTTATGAAATATCTCAATATCAGCTAAAAAGTAAAGAAAAGAAGAGTGAGCTCAGATTGACAAAAATAAAAACAGAAATTAATTGGAAAAGCCTTTTTTTAGTAAAATAAATACTGTGAAACTTGAGAAGATTGGTTCCTCAAGAAACATCCTAATCCTATCATCTTTAATTTCAATTTATTCATTTTTACTTTTTAGATTATATTGATATATTTCATTAATGTTAGGGATTAAATTGTATTTACACACATTTTTCTTTTCTACTCTAATAAAAACGTACGGAAATGAAAAGTCGAACAAGTATTGAAGTTAGGGGATCCAATTGAAACGAATAGAAGATTTTAGATAAAATCGAAACTACACATAAATTAAATTAACGAAGAACAGTACAGCGAGCAACCCTGGACTAATTACTGCCCACCAATACTTGAAGTTCCATGATACCACCAGCACGCCAGCCCATCTACGCCACAACTCAAGCGTGCTCTTAACCATATAGAGTATAGACACAGAGAAGCACTAAAAGTAATAATTCTTACTATCAAATGCGTCAAACTGCGTGTAATTTTCTTCAGCTTGGAAGTACGAATCTGGGCATGGTAGTGAAGACGAAGGATGCACTACGGATGCGAGGTTGCTGTCCAGGTATGAAGGTTGCTCAGTAGGAAGAGAAACAGAACCAGCAGGAAGATGATAATCAAGAGATCGTTCATCATCCACAGAGTTCATTATAGTTTGGTGAAGCAATATTTGATTCTTTAAGAACTTAACATAAGTAATGGCCTCCTCTAACATGGAAACCGTGTCCATCTTTGTCCCACCAGGAACCAAGCTTTGCAAAATCTTGAACCTGTCACTAATACGATGCCTCCTTTCCCTCGCAGCCACACTTTGAGGGTCAGTTGATAACTTCACCCCACCATTGCTTTTCTTGCCACCCGTCCTTTTCTCTTTTCCATTCTTGGGTGCAGAAGATGACACAGATGACCTAGGGTTTGTAGTGGAATGGTAGTCCATAGTAGAGCTAGCTAGATCTAACTTATTACATATGGTAGCAATGAAGTCTTGTTTTGGACATGGAAGGGAGGCTTTGAACATGGAACATATTTATAGAGGGAGCAGCATGTGGTCCGTACCATTTCAAATAATTAAAATAAAGAAGGTGTCGTCATGTGAATCAGCTAATCTTTGGCGCAGGATACGGGTGTCCACACTGCAACCAGGACCATAGTCCACGCAAAAGGTAATATTTGCTTCACCTTTTTCTTAGTACCTTGTCTGCTTAAGCTATGGTACCTTTGTATTTGCATATTTACATTTTAATCGGTGTATAATCAGATCTACTTATAGTTTCACTGGTTACTCGTAAAACCCATTGATGATCTGAAATTGCTTTCGTTAGATGCTCTTGTTCACTGGCTAAGCGACTGGAAAAGTATTGTATAACGTATTGTATTTTATCCGTATCGTGTATGTCTTATAACGTATTGCATTTCAAGTATCTATGGACAGAAACTATATATTTTTTAAGAGATTTATATAGAAAATGCATGATCATCAGTACGAGTTTCTTCTCTACGAGATCTGTGGCCCAGGGACCCCCCATAAGACAATTACAAATTGAGTGGGCAACCGAGAGAGAAAGAGGGAGAATTGTCTATGGGACTGGGTCAGGTGTGAAGAGAGGGGCTAAACGAAAGGAAGGAGGTGGGGGTCCTGCATCTGAAATCGAAGTGGACGTATCATGGGAGCATGGTGGGTCTTAATAATGTACGAACGATGCCATTTTTTCCTAAGGTTACGAACTGTTCATTCAAAGAGAACAACTCTCCATGCTCTCTTGAATCGGTACTTTTTTATAAGAAAATAAAAGATCAGCTTGGGCTCTTCTTTTCTAGAGAATTTTGGAACAAAGTTGTTTCAAACGGGTACTAAGATTCAAGTAGATCCATCTTAAAAGCATCGTTGAGATCCCACCTTCTGGGAATAGGAAGTCTAATAGAAAAGGAAAAGGTTCAATTTGTAGAGGGGGTGCGCTATTGGCAGGCAGCCCACCAACAAAATGTTGATAAACTGTGCGTGTATCTGATTCTTGTATATAAATGCTAGCTATCACTTCTTTTTCTATCAATTAGAGCGAAAACAAGGAAAATAGTGAGTAGTCCAGTAGAACAAACACAGATGTAGATCCCACTAGATTGGAAATGCATCTGCGCTATGTTGTGGGCTGACAGTGTTTTGAAAAACGTAAGGAGAACTCAATACTCGGTTTATTAACTTAACAATACGCAATAAGAATGGTTAATTTAATAATTTGATTTAAATTAAAAATAACAATAAAAAATATGCAGTAAAAAAAACATATTACAATGTTAAACAACAAAATAAGTCATCAATGTCATATCTATAAAGAAAACAAAGAAAAAAACACTAGAGGTCTACCATTACTCGATCGTGGACATCGCCCACGACCAAAAAAACTTACTAAGTTGGTTCAAATTTTATTGCAAAAGGATGCATGAAGATATTAAAAAAAACTGTATGGTTTGCAAGAGGAATGCCCTATAAAAGCAAAGTGAACAAAATACAGTGAAGTGGGTATATATCTATCTATATTCGATCAATATATTCTATTTAATTAAATAAAAATATATTTTGAGAAAATATATCTAATAAAGAACAAAACAGAAAGAGAAGGACAAAAAAGAAAAATAATAAAATGATCGTCAAAGTCAAACCAAAACTCTATTTTTTATACACATTACTTTTACATGGAGGAGACACCAAGATGAATTTAATGATACCAAGAAATGGCATTTTTTATTGTCAAAATCAACCATACACGTTATCCATAAACAATTGATGGTTGCCTAACACAAGCCAATGTTTTTTTTAAATTCCTTTAATTTATTAAAAGACAAAACTAACCTTCACTTTATCCAATAACAATAAAAAACTAATAGTACAATAACCAAAATACCCTTATATCATATGCACAACAAAATTAAAACCGAAGGGCAAAAAAGTATTTTTATAGTGAAAATGAAGAAAGATAAGACGAAAACACCCCTCCTAGCCAACCAAACTATTTTTGTATATAAAGTTAAATTAGTTATTTTATTATGTACTTTATGAGTAAAAATACAAATCTACCTCTCAATGTAACCAAACCATGCCTTAATCTTAAAGGTATTTATAATAATTTACTGTGTAATTTTAAAGTAAATATCCATCTTGCTCGTGGGCAGTTTAAAAATGCCAAAATATCCCCATTGAAAAGACATCCATGCCCTCAACCTCTAGCTAAAAGGTTTTTTTTAAGGGTAAAGCAGTAAATTTGCAATTATCATCCATGGTAAATTGTATTTAGGTGAACAATAAATTCATTATCTTTTTTAGTTTTTTTTTAAATTTGGTTTCAATTACTCTATATATATATATAAAGAATTCTTATTGATTGTTTTTTAATGTCATGTTTAAGTTATAATTATACAAGTTTTCATTGTTACTTTCTTTATATAACAAGTAACTATTTTATTGTTGCTATTGATTTAGCATTCAAGTTATTTACGAAGTGAATTGTGATTTTATATCAATTAATTTATGGAAAATCTTATTAAGAAAACCAAACCCATTATACAATTCATTTTCTAATAAACAAATGTTATAATCATGCTCAACAATTTTTCAAAAAAAATCCTTTTGGATTTAAATTTGATTTATTAACAATAATTAATTTAATCCTCCAAAAAAGTTATCACTTATAACCTGTCTCAAAAAATTTCTTGACGACACCATTTTGTATGCTTTCTACATGATAATGTTAAAATTTATGGATAAAACACGAAATTAGCACACAAAATTAAAATAAATGGCAAAACAATATTAAAAAAAATCTTAACAAAAAAATAAAATTTTAGATGTTGCCATTCTAAACCGCGACATCAATTAATTTTCCATGAAATACATAGAATTGTATCATGAGCTGACAAATAATTACTCAATTTCTAGCCCCCACTGATTCCTTGATTCTAGTTTTGCAGCGAAAAGCTTTTCTTTTAGTCTGCGTGCTATCAGTGTAGAAAAAGAAGCATATCATCTTACATGTAAACATATATTGTGCAAAGTCAATTATTTCAACTCCTCTTTAATTATTGAGAAAATAATATTCTTTGTACAAAGTCAATTATTTCTGCCTCTCTTTAATTATTTAAAAAATACCATATAAAAAAATAAAATCTTTCATGAAAAATTAATAATTACCATGTTTCAAGGCGCAATATCAATTAAAATTATATGGTAGTTGCTAACCACCATACTAATTAAATATTATAGTTTTCAAGCAATAATATTTAAAAATATACTATTTCATCTATAGTTTTCATACTCAGTCTAATCTATGGATTCGGATTTTAAATTTTAATTGGGTCATTAAGTTGCTAGGATTAATTATTTTTTTTTATTTTTAAATCAAAATAATATTATTTCAGTAAAAAAAATTAATAGATTGCAACCGAATTTTTAACCGGGTCTTACCAGATCAACAGAATCACATCGAGTTTTTCCTCCTCTTATTTTTTTTTCAACCCGAGTCAGCCAGGTCCCTGGTCGACCTGTCAGGTCGGGTTTCAAAATTATGATTTCATCAAAATTTTTTGTTTTTATATCATTTCTCTATTTATTTTAATTTTTTGTACTAATTTTCCAATTTCTCTAAAATTTCTACACTATGTAAGTGAACACAAAATTTTGATTATATATATATAAAAAATATAGCTTATTGGTTGAAATAATTAAATTGTTGGTCGGAAAAATAGTCTCAAAAAAATCCTCAATAGAAAGATTGAAGGCATGTTTTATGGGTCGATAATACTAAATTAAGAGGACTTGGTGAGTTCAACGATATCTTTTAGAAAAACACTATGAAACTTAAACCAATACGATCTTTGTTAAAGTAACGAGAATAACAAATATTTTGTAGGCTTAAATGTTTTTTAGTCTTGTTTAAATCTTATATTAGACTTGGATTTTTTTAAATATATGTTATGAGAGATATAGTCCAGAGAAATGAGATCAGATAGAGATTTTATTTAGGTAGATGAAACTTTGTTTATACATATTTTTTATATATAAATATTTTAAAAAATATCTAAAATATTTAATATTTAATATAAATATCTAGAATATTTATAAAAAAAATTTACAAAGAATTGTATATTATATAAAATATCTATTTATTTTTTCCATGCATCTTCACAATCCATTTTCTAGAGTGAAGCTAGCTAGTCTCCCCTGTGATGGTTAAGTACAGATTATAAGCTGAAATTTAATGAAGGAGCAATCTGGGTGACCTATTTTGCTGGCAAACAAGGAGAGAACCACAGAGACCCTTTTTACTCGACACATAGTTCAGTTTGTTACAAAGATGAAACTGAACTGTCCTAATGAAATTCCATGGAAAGGGCAAAAAAAGCTGAAAATTAGCTAATCCAAAGAGATGGTGATAGGGAAAGAAGACAAGAAGAAGCAGCAAAAGCACGTTTGAGGGTAGGTAGGTAGATAGATAGATAGAAAGCCCCATACTTGTTATTATGATTCTTACTTGTTCCACTGAAATAACCTCTGCTGGCAGCTACCCTTTCCTGTCCACTCAAAATCTTAACTTTGCTTTTGTCAACCCCCACATCAGTCTTAACACTGATACAACACTGCATTGTGATGGATCATAGCCATAAATTAGCACAAATAAAGGAGTTTACGGCAGCTGCTTTTCACTAGACTGATTGCCCTCAGCAGTTAGCTCAGAGCGAGAAAATCATTCGAGGTTTCACGTTCGAGTTCTGCCACTAATTCTTTTGAAGAGTTGCGTATCTTTGTTCGTCTAACTTTACTTTTAGAAGAAGTATACTGAGCTTAAAGTCTGATATAAATGTACTGAGATAGAACTCTCTGGACAAGCGTCGATATAAAAGATGCAATAATAATAATGTTCACCGTAACATGTACGAGCAGACGAT